GCTCAGGTGATTATTTGAATGATTAATCAACGGACGAGGGCAGATGTGAATCCCGAAGGTTTACGACATGATATATGGTACTTGGCGGGTTACATGGAATCTGTGGAGTTTGTCTTTTCGAACCGTGAAACCAACAAAGCGGCGCATGCCGTAGCAGCTTTCATTCAATCGGCATGAGGGTCTTATAGTTGGGATTGTATTGGTCATGACCTTCTTTTTAATATCCTTGCGGATGATGTAAACTTATTTATTTGACTTTGTTGGTTTCACGGTTCGAAAACACAAACTCCACAGATTCCATGCAACCCGCCAAGTACCATATATCATGTACTAAATGTTGGAGATATGTCAACAATCTATGATAAATTTAGAAGTCATTCCAGGAAGTTGGCAATTTCTCTATTATAGCCCCAACTTGGAAATGCTCATTGATCTCGCATCCCTCGAAGTGCAATTCATAAATCAATTTCTAGATTTCTTCGACTTGAGAGACAACAGATTTCGAATCCACCATAGTATATTTGAGAAACTTATCAATAACAAATTTCTTTGAACCGGTATCATCAATCTTATACTTTTTCTCCAGGGATTCCCACAACTCCTTTGTAGTCTTGCGCAAAGAATAAATGTTGTAGAGATTGTCATCCAAACTATTCAGAATATAATTCCTACAACAAAACTCAGAGTGATTCCAAGCTTCAATTGCCATGACAGTCGCTTTCATCATTGGATTCTCATTAGACTTCGGAGCTTCTTCCTTGACAACATGAGCGAGATTCATAATTGTCAGGAAAAACAACATCTTATGTTGCCATCTCTTGAAATCCAGCCCTTTGAACTTCTCAGGCTTTGCAGAGGATTTTGGCACAGTGCCATTCACATTCACAGATTGTTGATATATGAATTTTCTATTTAAAGATTGTTGGAGATATGTCAACAATCCGTGGTAAATTTATATATGCTAATAAGTAATAAATGCGAACAACTAATTAACAGTATATGAACAATGAAATAATATTTAATAGAAATATTGAAGATCGAAGCTTGCGTACCACAATGTCATTGAAATAGAAATTTCGTCCCTACTCAGTGCTTGTAGTTCTACAGACGTTTGCTTCACCAGGATTCAACGATCAAGTCAGAATTCCAGCATCGAAAAACTTAACTTCTAGCGAATTTCTGTGTGGTTCTCTCAAAAAGGATATTTGTAATTGTAGAAGAAGAATGTTGATTTTCTGTATTCGAAATGTCATGCAGATGGATGTATATATAGTAGGTGTATGCCTGTTCGCAACATATATGAGAATGAGATGTGTTTGTTGGGAAACATCTTCTCTAGAGGGGTGCTTTGCTCTCTGCTCTCTTTCATCACTCTTCACATACTTCATCTGAAAGGATAAGTCTGTTGATAAAAAATAAATAATTACTTAAATTCGAAATTAATTAAAAATAATTAATTAAATTTGAAAAATAATTAATTAAAAAATTTAATTATTAGAGCCCGAACCCAAGAGGCCCAAGGCCCATCCTTTGATAATTAATTGAATTATATATATATATATATATATATATATATATCAATTAATTAGCACACCTCAAAGCCTAACTCTAAGGGTGAGCCTAATTTTATTTTCCAAGGTTCATCACTCCAATCACTTTCTATAAGGGACAAAGCCTTATAAAGTGAAGAAACCTTTTGGTAGTAACCAATGTGGAACAATGAAATTTCTACTTAAAATTTCTAACAGTAAACCTTCGAGATACACATATGCCCTCGTTTATCAGTTAATCATTGGAATAATCACATAAGGGTCTTATAGTTGAGATTGTATTGGTCCTGACTTTTTTTTAGGGATGTGATATCCACACACCATTTTTTACTTCTCTCACACCTTTTTGGTTTTCAGCCGTCGGATCGGATGAATTAAAAAAGATCAACGGATAGAAATTAAATTAACAAGGGGTGTGTGAGAAGTAAAAATGGGTGTGTGGATAGCACACCCCTTTTTTTAATATCGGATGATGTAAACTTATTTGAAACCCTTTTTATTAATTTTCTTTAAAATCTATCCCTCGACAAAAAATAATAATAATAAATAACCCTTCTTTCTTTATTCAATTTTGAAGGAAAGCCAAAAGCCACGCGATTTTATCCTACTAATCAAATAGTTTAGTCATTTTCTCGACAAAAAAAAAAAAGAAAAAGTTTAGTCATTTAATCATGATTAGCCTAAATCCCCATGGTTCGTCGTCAACAACTGGCAAAGTCCACGTTCGCACATCTTGAACCTGGCCTTGTACACGGCTCTGTTCATTTTCCGTGGACCCCGCCCCCGTCTTTAACATAAAATAAAAAATCGCAGGGTATTGAATTTGGACGGATCGCAACGAAAAGGCGAAAAAGCCAATGCCCAGAGACCGCAAATGGAGAAATTTTTTAATGAAAATACGGTTTAATATATTAAGAGTTACAATAAAAATATTAAATTTTTTTAAATATCTAATTATTTATATTATGAATCAAACTATATTTTCGATACACCAAAAAATCTCTTAGTCAAACATGTTGTTTCTTCACAATTTTGCACTTTGAATAACTAACGTTGGAAGCGGACATTTCCGTAAATACCTATACCCGTTGACTCTCTAACATGTATTTATTTAGTTTTATAGAGAATATTTTTTAGAACTGCGATGTGACCTAGCTTATCGTTAGACAATACGGAGTATGATAAATTATATGTAAACGGTGTGAACAAACTAAATCAACCTCATGAAACAATTTAAAATGTATATGAACTGTGTATACAACATGTATTTTCATATTTTCTTATTTTATACAATGTATTGTCGATTTAGATGGTATACAAGCATGCCAAAGAGACGTGACATGAATGCCAGTGTCACTCGCAAGTTAAGCTTTATTTACGTTTTTCTTGGATGATTGAGCCCGGATAAAATGATAAATCAAATACTTTAATATTAATTTTAATAATGTTTTAAGGTAATAAATGTTAGAGTATATAGAATTTGTAGTACGTTTTTTTTTTCAGTCGAGCAATAGCGTATAGTAAGTTAGATGTTAAATTAGATATCAACGGAGTTCAAATTCACGCCATCATATAAAGGCACAATACATTTTTATCACTGTAATAAAAGATTACTTACAAAATTTGTAGTATTATGGTGCAGAAGCGTATTTCACAAAGATCAAACATGTAGAGCCAGCAAATAAGAAGCTTAGCTCACTAACGGTTACTTGAGGAGAGAGGTTGAATTACAACTTGTAATCCTAGCCATGCATCTAATCCCTAGGAGCTTTAGAGAAGTGGCAATTCCTTGTAACAAACTGAAAAATAACAACTCTTTTCTACTACCTTGCATATGAGCTTAAGGTAAATTAACATGTAAATCAAATTAACCGTTTATAATTCAACAATAAATTCATCTGCAATCATATTTACTTGTACGTTGATAGAACCCAATTCTCAACCCTAACTCAACCTTAACTATTGTACTCAAGGTTCTAAAAGACGTTAGGCGTTAGTCGGGCGGCGAGCTGGGGCCTAGACGAACTAAGTAGATTTAAGTAAATTTATTATATTTCGTGTAAATAAGTGTCTGTTTATACTGAAAATATATGTAATTTTGTCATAAACTACAAAATAGAATGACATATATAATGTGAGTATTGGAACATGATGAAAATATAGGGAATAAACATATAATATGTGTTCATTTAAGTATTCAACAAGTCTCTTACAATTTATTGAAAAAATAAAATGCAAAATGAAAGTTATCTGTTTTATCTTTGAGTGAGTCGCAACTTAGGCAGGTGCCTAGGCAGATTTGGGCGTGCTAGACGGGTGCCTAGGCGGTCTAGGCAAGCGCCTCAACAAATCTAGGCGCCATTTCTTAATTTTCAAACGCCTAGGCATTAATCAGGGCGGTGGCCAGCCGCCTAGCGCCTAGGTGGCTCTAGGCGGGGATTTTTAGAACCGTGATTGCACTTAGAAAAAGAGGGAAGGAAGGAAGAAGGAGCAAGCTCTCCAATATAATTTTTAAGGTGAATTGCCAATTTATTCCCTGAATTATCACTTGAGTGAAAATTAGGTTCCTAAACAATTTTTTTTTTCTTTAGAAAAATCAGTTATTGAATTATAAAAATCTACCAATTACATCCCTAATATTAGATTTGAAGCTACTATATTCAATTTTTTGTCAATTTAAGTCACGTTACTTGCATATGATACATATTGGAGGGTAGATTGGTAATTTGACAAAAGAAATAGTGTATGGAGTTAACTTTGGAGGATAAATTAGACGTTAGATTCACATCCTATACGAAATGTTAAGGGTTTATAGGCGAGAAAAAATCAGTATTACATTCTAAAGTGTGTCAAGTGACTTAAGTTGACGAAAAATTGGATAAAATAACTTTGAATATAATAGTGGGGATGAAATTGACAATTTTTAATGAATTTAAAGACTTATTTTACTGAAAAAATAATTCAAAAACCTAATTTCACTAAGGTGATAACTCAGAAACTAATTTTCACTCATGTGTAAAAAATGATCTCCTTTCATTTCTGGGAGCTGCGCTCCTTTTATACAGATTCCACACATTAAAATGCCAGCTGGCATATGTAACAGTCCTTAATATTAAACTAAAGCATAAAACCTTCAATTAACTCTCTAAATCACCGATTAAGGCAATCACAAATGAGTCCTATTTGGGTTCCTAAACGTGACCTACTATAACAGTGAGTCCTTGACAATTTATGTTTCCCCAAAATTCAACAAAACCATTCCATCACAAGATAAAAGGAGAAAATTCCAACAAGTTGAATTTCTAAATTTTCCTAAATCTTTAATAATAATGCTATAAAAGAGTAAGCGAACGTGAACTGGGTTTCGAGATTTCTTTGAAAACATAAAAGGATTCTTGCTGTCGTGCTGCCTACCTGTTTAATGTTACTTCAGTTACACAGGGAGATGGTTATGTAATTTTCTCAGTAGCCAAACAGGCCTCCATTTTTATTGGGTTTTTATTTTCTTTTTTGGGGGGCTTTTTCTTCTTGTAAAACAAATGCCTGAACACTAAACAGGTGGTATATAAGGGAGTTTGAGAATCAGTTTGGTTTTTTTTTTTTTGGGTTCATTGAACCTAGACAAAAATTTGGGCTTTTTCATCTACCTTAATCTTCCTCTCTGTGCCCCTTCAAAGATTGCCCCTTCTTTTATAAATTGAATATTTTATTTTCTCAGAAACATGACGACCATTGAGTGTGGGAAAGAGAAGGTGCAAACTCTTTGCTTGCGTTTTGCCTTCTCGTGCATATCTAGTTTTTATTCCTTCTCCCCAATTTTCTGCATTATTTTGTGAATTTGTTTTGTTCTTTTTGCCCTTTCGGAGCTCAAGTGGATTTTTATATTTTCAGAAAGGAAGAACTTTTAGGTTAGGTGTAAATTGTCCCTTCCACTATCAGTGGCTTGCATGAGAAGCGTTTCTAGGAGGTAAGGTAGTCTTCGGTTCATATTTATCAACCACTGGTTCTGATTTTTATTATTCCTCAATTGGTTAAGCATGCTTTTTCTTAGAGCAATGGTGGTGTAACCATGTATAAGATTGTAAAATACGCATAAATAAAATCGGTTACAAATCTAATTTGACATTAAAGACTAAACCGTGGTTTAGTGCCTTTTGCTGACGTGCTAGTGTTACTTGGATTCTATTTTTTATTAAAAGTTTATAACCAGTTTCATTTGTATGTATTTCCTGTAAGATTCTAGTAATGAGATTGTTTAATTGGGGTGATGTTATTATTAAAACCAAATAGTTTAAAGATTATTGCAGTTCAATCGAATTGGTCTAGTGGAATTTTAAGGAATTCTAAAGTGGCATAATTGATTTTTGAACTTTTGTGCAGGAATTAGAAATAAATGAAGTAGGGAAGTAGGGTTTCAACTTTTAATCCCGCTTTTTTTGTTTGGAACAGTATCATATTTCTCTTGCGACACTAGTTTTTAAAAAGTTTAAAAGCACTGGATGCTTCTGCTTCTGTTGTTTGTTTCATATCAGCATCAATCAACATTGTAATTTCAACTTACTGTGAAGAAGAAGATTAGGTATTTAGCCATCTGTAACACAAGACGTATCGCTTACATCGATCGACAACTTCACCTCTTGTTTCAATGGAGTAGACCCTCTTTTTTCTGCTCCCTCCCTCCATCCCTTCTTACATTCTTGTTCACTTGTTTTAAGTCAGTCAATGGAATCAATGGCTCAAATCAAATCCCATTGTGGTCCTAACAAAATTCTCAAATAGTAGTTGAAAAGCAACTTAGACAACAAGGGTTTGCTTCCAATGGGACCATAATCAAGAATTTGATTCCAAAAGTTTTGTTTTTTTTTTTTAATCCAAGACACCAGCTAAAATCATGGAACTTCTACTTCCAGACTTTTAGTTGCAGTTTGTGAGGGACTTAGGGTTGAAAAATAAGGCCTAATTAATATGTAAAGTTGGTTTATGCTTCTGGTTTTCTAGTTGCTGCCCATCTGTCCTCCTAAGTCAAACACCATTTTTTAATACATTTTATACATCTAAGCTAGGCAATTATGGAACGGATGATGATCGCTTAGCTTATTTAATAATCAATTCGTGGGCGGGATCAGATTATCTTTTGTTTTGTTAAACTTTGTTGACATATTACTAATCATGTATTTGACAAGTAAGATATCCACTTTTTGTACAGTTTGAAAAGTCTGACCACAAGTACTTTTTAAGTGCTTATATATGGAAGAGCTTCTCGGCCTTCCCTCAGCATTCACGTAAGCCCTGCCTACTCCAAAAACAACTTCTGCGAAGTGCCTTCTCCCGCATCCTCCTTTCATTTGGTTAGATTCAGTCTCTTCTGTAGCTATGAATTTTGCCTAACAAGTTATATATCTTGAGTGTAGTTGTTTTAGTCTTCGGTTCTTTAAGATATGTGCATGAACTGAATAAGTCCATCAAACCTATATTCCCTTGGACTAGTTGAAAAAACACATTCTGCATGCAACTATAAACTGCTTCTAGTGGTCTATTGTACTCCTTCACACTTTTTAGCTATTACTTTTTTCGGAATATGAGAATTGCTATTCTGATCTGCCTGTTCATCATTTCTTTTTCTGTTTCTTGCATTACAGTGAACTGATTATCCATGGCTTCAATTCATTCAAGCAACGAGGACATCGAAGCCAAAGAATTGGACACCAGAAGCGTGTCATCTTCTCGCAATCATTCACAGGGTGCGCCATACATTCACAAAGTGGGAGTTCCTCCAAAGCAGAACCTTTTCAAGGAATTCTCGAACACTGTGAAAGAAACCTTCTTTTCAGATGATCCTCTACGGCCCTTCAAGCACCAACCTAAGTCGCGAAAGCTCATCCTTGGCGTGCAGGCTATTTTCCCCATATTCGAATGGGGGAGAGGCTATAACCTATTGAAGTTTCGGGGTGATCTAATTGCTGGACTGACTATTGCTAGTCTCTGCATTCCTCAGGTAAATTGGCAGCTTAATCTATTGAAAATCAGCTTATGTCATTTTTCCGGTTCCGTAGTTCTAATGATTTTCTCAACTGCAAAATCAGGACATTGGATATGCAAAACTTGCAAACTTGGCTCCCCAGTATGGATTGTGTAAGTATATCTATGCTACTAAAGAACACACCTTTATTGTTACCTGATTTCCTTGGATGTTGTTCTGAGACTTCTCTTTTGTTTTTCAAAACATTTACAGATTCGAGCTTTGTTCCACCATTGATCTATGCGATCATGGGCAGCTCAAGAGATATTGCCATCGGACCTGTGGCTGTGGTGTCTCTCCTGCTGGGTACACTTCTTCAGAATGAGATTGACCCTGTTAAGAACCCAGATGATTACCGGCGCCTGGCCTTTACGGCTACCTTCTTTGCAGGCATCACCCAAGCCACCCTTGGGATTTTGAGGTAATTGCTTTAGCTTTATTTACATCTTACATTTTTTTTTACCTTAATGAAGGCCTCTTAGCTTTTGATTCTCGGTCATAATACTATCCTGGTTTTGTTTTTGTTATCAGGATGGGGTTCTTGATTGATTTCTTATCTCATGCTGCCATTGTTGGGTTTATGGGTGGAGCTGCCATCACAATTGCTCTTCAACAGCTTAAGGGTTTTCTCGGAATACAAAAGTTCACAAAGAAAACTGATATTGTTTCTGTAATGCAATCTGTATTTCACTCAGCTCATCATGGGGTAAGCTCTATCTAGGGTTAAAATCCGAAACATCTTTTTTCTTTCACTAACTGAAACATCAAGTTACTGATCCCCATATTACACAATTTTGCAGTGGAACTGGCAGACAATAGTTATCGGAGTATCATTTTTATCATTCCTCTTGCTTGCCAAATATATTGTAAGAATCCCCAAACTTTACTGCTGCTCACCTAATACGATTCAAGCTTGTTAGTTTTTGTCTGATTTCACATGTTCTGGGGAGCAGGGAAAGAAGAAGAAGAATCTCTTCTGGGTTCCAGCAATCGCCCCGCTAATATCTGTTATCCTGTCCACTTTTTTTGTGTACATAACTCATGCAGAAAAGGATGGGGTTGCAATTGTAAGTCCAGTGTGTTATAAATAGTACTTCAGAAGAATGTTAATTTCAGTTGCAAGATGCAGTACTTAGGGTTTCTCCATGTATGTAGGTGAGACATATCGAAAAAGGAATCAATCCTCCATCTGTGAATGAAATATTTTTTACTGGTGACTATCTTGCGAAGGGTTTCAAGATTGGGGTTGTAGCTGGAATGGTAGCATTGACGGTGAGCATCTCAGAGCTCATTTCCTCTAACCAAGAAGAAAATTTGATATCATTTCTTGTATCTTTTTCTTATTGGTGTGAATTATCAGGAAGCTATAGCAATTGGAAGAACTTTTGCTTCCATGAAGGACTACCAGTTAGACGGAAACAAAGAAATGGTGGCTCTAGGAACCATGAATATTGTCGGCTCAATGACTTCCTGCTATGTCGCGACAGGTGAGAAAGAAAGTACCATTTAAATTATGAATTACACTCTAATAGTTACGAATGCATATTTGTGCATGGTAAGGGTTCGGGAGCTGTATACCTAGTTGGGAGTGAGGTGCTTAAAAAAAAAGCACCCATGAAAAAAAGCTGTGAGGGTTTTAAGTGTTTGGTAAACTGAAAAAAAAGGCTTATTTTGGAAGCTGCTGTGATAATAAGCTGAAATCAAAGGAAAAGCTGAAGCTACTATTTGCAGCTTTGGAAAACTGGTTTTTTTTCAAAGCACACGGAGCTACAGTGCTGCTTTAACGAAAAGACCCACTATTAGACTGCTTTTTTTCCAAAAGCACTTTTACAAAAAAATTTACCAAACACTCTGCTAATTTATTTCACAGCCACTTATTCTCACAGCAATTTTTTTTTAAAGCACAGCAATACCAAACCAGCCCGTAATCTCTTGGTTTGGGCTTCTAGCAGGCCTAGACCATGTTTTCAATGAAAAATTTGACTAGTAAAACCGTTGAAGATGGATTATAGTTAATGCATAACAAATTCTCAAAATAATACAAATCTAGCAAACGTAGCTAGTTGATACTCTAAGGTTAAGCAATAAGCATACTTAAAACCCTTGAACCTTGTATCTAGAGGGATGCGTGACTAAGGACATGGAACTGATTGAATGCTCTTATACTTGCAGGTTCCTTCTCACGCTCGGCAGTGAATTACTATGCCGGATGCGAAACTGCAGTCTCAAATATTGTCATGTCCGTTGTTGTTTTCCTAACCTTGCAATTCATTACACCTCTTTTTAAGTACACCCCGAATGCCATTCTTGCTGCCATCATTATATCCGCTGTGATCAACCTAGTCGACTTCCAAGCAGCAATCCTTATATGGAAGATTGACAAATTCGACTTTGTCGCTTGCATGGGAGCCTTCTTTGGTGTTATCTTTGCATCTGTTGAGATCGGCCTCTTAATCGCGGTACATATCTTTATTGTTAACTGCCTTGTATTCGAAAACTATCTTATAGAGATCAGCAATCTAAATTAACATTTGTTTCTGTCCAGGTCTCAATATCCTTTGCTAAAATCCTCTTACAAGTTACCAGACCACGGACTGCAATACTCGGGAAGATTCCGAGGACAAATGTATACAGAAACATCCAACAGTATCCAGAAGCAACGAAGGTTCCAGGGGTTATGATTGTGAGAATTGACTCTGCAGTTTACTTCTCCAACTCCAATTACATTAAAGAGAGGTACATATATATGGTCTCTTGTATATGCTCGGTTCACTTAAATCTTCGTGGTAATTCTTAAAGCTGCAATGAAAAAGGGGTAACCTAGGACTAAAAAATCTATAAAAAGAGAATTTGTGGTTGCCTTTGAGACCTTTTGATTAGTTATATTTTGTTTGGCTGTTAAACTTTGGCTTAACTGCCAAACTAAGCTGTTTCTTTCGACTTATTAAAGCTTTCGTACTTGAAATGAGCAGCATAGGCTATATAAGTCACATGTTAGTTCTAGTAGTTTATATGCCCTATCATGTAAAGAACCTAGAAATAGGCTGATTTTCATGTTTCACAATTTTCTTAGTCATACTATCTGTAGTTTTCGCGGTCCTCAATTTCAACTTCCTTGCAGGATATTAAGATGGTTGGTAGATGAAGAAGAACAGTTGAAAGAAGCCTACCTACCAAGCATTCAGTTTTTGATCGTTGAAATGTCACGTAAGCAGTTTTCTAATCTTTAAAACCAAATGCCGATACGCTGATTCATTACTCCCGGTTTATCTAAACTCATTTCTCATGGTGTCTTGTGTTCGTTGCAGCCGTGACTGACATTGACACCAGTGGAATTCATGCTTTGGAAGAGTTGCATAGGGGTCTCCAAAAGAGAGACATTCAGGTAAATTATATGCACGCGAAATCATCCTGTCATTTTCTACTAAAGTGAACAAAAATTACATTTGACATTCTATGTGATATGAACTTGTTCAAGTTGTCTTACCTCCAATCTTGTTGTGCAGCTTGTTCTCGCAAACCCCGGACCGGTGGTGATTGATAAGATTCACGCATCCCACGTTGCAACCTTGATCGGCGAAGACAGAATCTTTCTCACGGTGGCTGATGCCGTCTCATCCTGTTCTCTGAAATTGGTGGAAGAAGCTTAGTGTAAATGGAATGTGATTATTGTTTGAGAGAGTAAGCACAAACAAAGTATTGAAATGGAGAGAGAGGCTTACCAGGTTCTTCAGTTGAAAAGTGGATGGCCGGGAAGCAAATGTGAAAGTGGTAAAAGCTGAAGTGTTTGAGTCCAATGCAAGTAACAAGTAAAAAAGATATGTAACAATATAAAAAGGTGCAAATTGGTAAATGGGTGTTCAAATTACAGGAAAAATGTGTGTAGAATGAGAATCGAACTGTTGGTTTTCTTTCTACATATAGATTTGTATGCTTTTGGATATGTATTTGCAAGTTTGGTATTCCACTTTTATTTATCAGTATATAAGAGTTTTTGTGAGTTCAAAGCATGGATCTTACTATTTCCTATTGCAACTAACACCAATGTTTTAGTATTAACGAAGTGGGTGGAATGCTTACGATTGATTGAGATTCAACTTTGTATCGATTCGATTAATAAATCCTTTTCAAAAAAGAAAAGAGTCGCAGTGATTCCGTATAATGGTCAAACAAAAGGGTGGTGTAATTGGCACTCCAAAAAATTCATTGTGCACCCTTTATAAGTGTAATTTTCTTTCTAAATATAAAAAGTGTGGAGTGCATAATAATTTTTATGGAGTGTAAATAATATCACCCTTCAACAAATATAAACTATCTATTAGAACAGTACACAATATGTGATGTAAGCTTGCTAGAAGCAATAATCGGACTATGGATTTAGGAATCATTTTGTACGTAAAGAGATTGGATTGGAATAAATAACTGTTTAACGTATTAAAGGTAGAAGAGAACAATTTTTCATTTTGAGGAGGATTAAAAGGAATTAAACATAAATGAAACTTCTCCATTCTAATCCTATAATTTTGGAGATAATTGGATTGGAATGGATAAGTTTTTTTTTTCTTAAGTAATCTATCACTTACATCAACGTTGGTCACACTTTTTTCATCTCTTCCTTCAAAATAGTGTTTTATCCATTCCAATCCGATCTTGCAATACTACTCATGGCCTAAAGACAGTCTTACAGAAGCCCACAATGAAACGGCAATCCCAACTCAGTCCCCATATCAATACTTGGAGCCAATAAACTGCCAGAGATTTTATGTTTGGAGATCAAGGTACTCAAGAATGCAAAAACGTCTCATTAGATAGGTAGGTCTTGCTATAGTTTACAGGAAAGTTGAAAAAACTAACCTCGTTGAGGGCTTTGCTAACCAAGCTAGAGGAAGGCATACTCTATTTGAAATAGAGCAATATAAATATCATAAACAATATATGCAACGTCTTCCATGGTAAGAATATGTAGAGTATAGACCCATGGTTAGATGGCTCAAATAAGCTTTTCGAAGTGACAATAACAACACCTTAAACAAATTCACAAAGTTAGTTAGTATGAAACTTGGCCCAAGTTATTGGTAGAAAAGCGTAAATCTGTATATTAGTTTATGGATGTAGTACGGGCGTATCAAACCCTAGGAATCATAGCTAGTCACAGAGGGTTTGGGGTTGGGTACATCGACATCAAGAATACAGTAGTATTACTATATAGTGTAGTGCAAGATATACGTAGCAATATTCCATTGTTTGATAGTTAGTGTTCAGGTTGGATCTGTCTGAAACCAAATCATATATAATCTCAAAATACTTCAATCTAGGGTCACCTGAACCCTTAATCAGCCAATGGGTAAGGACTCATCCATTCATGGATTACATGTTGAAGGTTTCAGATAATTTGTTAGGTGGCCAGAAAAATGAATAACATAAAACTTGAATGATATAAAAAAAAAGGTAAAGAAAACATTACATAATCTTCATTGTCCAATTTTATGTTTTATGAAAAATATATTTAAGAGTATGCATTGGGTAGTGCTGAAGTGGATTGATCTACCCCATACATACCCTACATATCAAATTCACACTAAATTTGAAGTCTATAAAATGATTTGCAATTAAACTAAACAAATTGGCTTACCTGCAGAGTCTTTTTTTGTCCAAATTTTGCGAAAATCTGCTTGCAGGCCATGGATAATATTTCTTCTCATGTTTGTAGAAAGCTGGCTAACTAGTTACTTGTTCTATCATCCCATTTAACGAATAAGTTTTGATGAAATTGAAAATTGGATATTCTGATGAGAGAAAATAACAAGATATGGAAGAAGAGACTACTAGTGTGGCCTTATTTATTTACGTATGGATGAGAGAGAGAGAGAGAGAGAGAGAGAGAGAGAGAGAGGTAGCAGTAGTAGTAGGAGGAGGAGCAGGATGAGATTTTGAGGAATAAGAGAGGAAAAATTACGAATAGGTCCAGTTTTAAGTGGTGGACTGAAAAAGCAGCAAGCAGGTAAATTAAGTGGAGAGTGGGATCCTCATCTGAAACCCCAGCACCAAAAGTAGCGATAATTCTAATAAAGTATGCACAACTAGAAAAAGGTTGATCATTTTGCATAAGGGATAAGATTGGTTTTATAAGAATCTGAATCCATAGGATCTCTATGCTCTCACATTGAAAATTTCCCATATTTCATCTTCAAGTTCTTAATTGTGTCATTATTCCATTAACCAAGCTTATTTAAAATACAATTAGGATATTGAGGCACATGAGATTCGAACACAAGATCTCGATTGAGGAGTAGGTAGTCTTTATCATGTGAACTAGAAAAAACGTCTTGCATATATAACAATGATATTAAACAAGTGATGTGCTACATTTTCAGTATCATAAACCATATTATATGCAGAATGATGACACATGCAGTTTGGAAGGAAGTGAATGCGACTGCTTTTTAAAGATGTTTAAGCAGAAGGAAGCAAGTGGATTTGGTTTTACTTTGTTGGTATAGGATGAATGTGGATGCAAAGGAAGCTACATGCATTGAGGATGCATATTCAAATTATGACAAAAGTTTAGGGATATAAAGTAATAGGTTTTTGGCAGTACAAGATGCTATTCTTTTTTCTTTTTTCTTTTTTTTTCTCTTTCTTTACAAGAAACGATTCTCTCAGGTGATCAGGTGGTATTTTAGGCACAAATAAACCTTGCTTATATGGACTCATTATTCATTGCAATGCTCAGTTATATGCTGCTTACAGTTGTTGGAATTTGTGGATAAATTAAGGTCCCAATTCCACTACGAATTATAACATACAACCCGTCAGACTGTAGTCATAGGGCATGAAGTATACACATGGTGCAAACTTGGCTATTATTACTTCTCTGGTTGTATTCGAAGCAACTTTTTAGCTGGAAAGCTTTTGAGAACTATTAACCTGAGCCAAGTTTGTTGATTTGGGAGCAATGAGCTCATGAGAGCAATGGCATTTGCCAGCTTGTAAGGTATAAAAAAAACCATGTTGTCGCATGAAAGGAACATATTGACTACTTCAGGAATGACAAAAAGAATTTTCTAAATGAGCTAAGGAGTTTGTGGAGTTCCATGGACTTTGTTTGACTCTTAAATTCAAATGTATTTAATATATACTTTTAAATTAGACTCAACGAAAGTCACTTTGTATTGAATAAAGACTTTTTAGGACTTTGTATTGAATAAAGACTTGTCAGGGGTAGTGAGGACTAATCCTGCTCCGCAGCCCTGTTGGTTGGATGAGCCATCAACATACAGACTCCATGCTGGGGTTGTTGATTCTATCTTCTGAGCTTCCGATGGTAATGAAGCTGTTGCTTCAGGTGTAGAAGCAATGTCAATAGGATATGTGAAGTCGGCGATGAAATCTGCTACTGCTTGACCCTTTTTGGCTGGTTTTGGTTGGTAGGAGATGTCAAACTCACCCAATGCTATTGCCCATTTGATCATTCGCCCAGACGTGTCAGGACTCTGGAGTATCTGTCGAAGAGGGTGATTGGTAAGCACGATGATGGCGTGTGCTTGGAAATAAGGGCGAAGTTTTCGAGCAGACATGACCATTGCTAGAGCTAATTTCTCAATGTTGGAGTATCGTGTCTCCGCATCTTGTAGGGCCTTGCTAGCATAGTAGACGGGCCGTTCGACACCACTGTCATTTCGAATAAGAACAGAACTGACTGCTGAAGTCGAAACCGATAGATAGATAATGAGAGTGTCACCAACTTCTGGTTTGGAGAGCAGAGGGGCTTTACTCATGTACTCTTTGAGGTTCCTGAATGCCTTGGCACATTCCTCCGTCCATGTAATGTACTTCTTATTTCCCTTGAGTGCTTTGAAGAAAGGAGCACATCTGTCTGTGGCCTTAGAGATGAATCTGGTTAAGGCTGCCACCTTGCCAGTAAGGCTTTGGATGTCTTTTGAAGTTACTGGCTCTTTCATGTCGAGGATTGCTTTGATCTTTTCGGGGTTAGCTTCAATGCCTTGTTGGCTAATCATGAAGCCTAAGAATTTGCCAGAGCCCACGCCGAAGGTACATTTGTTGGGGTTCAACCTCATTCGATACCTCTTTAAAATGGTGAAAGTTGCATATAGGTTGGTGATGTGTTGGTCAGCATGTTTGCTCTTAACTAACATATCATCAACGTAAACTTCCATGCTCTTCCCAATCTGTTCGGCGAACATTGAATTGACCAGTCTCTGATAAGTTGCTCCTGCATTCTTTAGACCGAAGGGCATGACTTTGTAGCAATATAGTCCCCTGTCAGTAGTGAAGGCTGTGTGTTCTTGGTCTGAGGGGTTCATGAGGATTTGGTTGTATCCTGAATAAGCGTCCATGAAGCTCAAGAGCTCACACCCTGCCGTAGAGTCTATAAGTCTATCAATGAGAGGAAGGGGGAAACTATCATTCGGGCATCCTTTGTTTAGGTCGGTGTAGTCGACACACATTCTCCACAAGACCTTTTGAAGCAGGAGACTTTCCTTGGTCGGATTTTTCTTAACAAGGACAACATTTGCTACCCATGTTGGGTAATTGACTTCACGGACGAAGCCTATGTCCTTGAGTTTTTTCAACTTCTGCTTTCATCGCCTCGTATCGTTCAACATCATAAGATCTTCGCTTCTGTTTTACTGGTTTGGTCTTGGGATCAATACTCAAATGGTGACAGATGATATCGGGAGAGATGCCCGGCATATCTTTATATGACCAAGCGAAGACCTCGGCGTTCTCTTGCAAAAAGGAGATCAGCGACAACCGAAAGGGTGGTGACAAAGTGGTGCCAATCTTCACCATGCGATCTGGATGGTCTTTGGAGATAGAGACATTCTCTAACTCTTCAGCGGGTTGTGCTTGCTGGGTGAATGAGTCATCTCGAGGGTCGTCAGGTTAACTGTTGCCATCATGAAGATCCGAGTTGGCTTCATCTGGACTGGTCTTTACTACCTGGTTATGTATAGAGAGGGTCTCCTTGGGGACATGCATGTGTTGTTGCTTAACTGAAGTGTTGTAACATGATCGAGCACTAAGTTGATCTCCCCTGATGTATCCATTGCCGAAAGGGGTTGGAAACTTCATCAACAACATATGTGTGGATACCATGGCCTTGAGATCATTGATGCCTGTGCGCCCAAAGATGACATTGTATGCCGTCGGGCAATTGACCACTAGGAAGTTAGTGGTAATAGTAGCTGTGTAGGGGCCTGTACCAATGGTGAGGGGTAAGTGTATACTCCCTAAAGGTTGCACGATATCGCCAGAGAAGCTTATCAGAGGAGAAATCGAGCGATCGAGCAAGTGTTCAGCTACATTATGTGCCTTGAAAGCTTCAGCAAACATGATATTGACTGAAGCACCTGTGTCTATCAGGATTCGTTTCACATCAAAATTTGCTATGTAAGCCTCCACGATCAGCAGGTCGTTGTGAGGGTAGATGATACCTCTTTCTTCCTCAGGGTAGAAACATATTGGATCCCAGTTAGGTTTTTGATACTTGCCTCCCCTGATGTCTTCCACGTGAAACACTTGATGGCCATGTCTCAAAGTTCGTTCACTGTTTTTCATGGCCCTATTGGAAGATTCATACATGGGTGTGCCGCCGTTTATGGAGTATATCACATTCACCTGGCGTTGGTTACGGTTATCCCTTGGAGGGTGAAGGAGGAACTGATCAATTTTTCCTTCACGTGCCAAAGCTTCGATATGATCACGGAGGATGATGCACTTCTCGCCGTCATGGCCATTATACTCGTGGTAGCAGCAAAACACGCCCGTGTTCTTCGTGGACTTGTAATCTGGCTGTCTTGGCTTTGGCTTTGGTATCAGGTAAGCTATACTAGGGTAGATGGCCGCGCATGTAGCGTTCAAAGGTGTGTATGTCTCATACCTCGGGGTAGGGCCTGTCTTGACACGCGATTGGCCAACTGCGTTGACTGCTTGGGGATGGGTGTTATTGTGACGATATACTGAGTTATCGCGATAGTGCCCCTTATTCTTTTTATTAAAATGAGATTGGTGAGGATGGAAATCTTTCCTTTTGCCCTGGGATTGATATGTCTGCTGACTTGGCGAAGCATTAAATGAGGCCGGGGGGTGTGCTGCTACCGTTTGGAAGGTTAAGGTCTTTTCATTCGGTTGGATCTGGCCTCCACTCCCTACTTGCTGATAAGGGGTGACTGTAGGGGGTTTCCCTTGATATGTCCTTGCCTCGGCAGAGGCATGGTTGTAAGCTTGTGCCATCACCTCAGAGTAAGTCTTCCAAGTGTTGGCATTGATCATGTACTTGAAGAAACAGTCACGTAAGCCTACCGTGAAGGCCTTGAGGGCGGTCTTGTCATCTGCCTCAGCGCAGCGGGAATACTCATGGCTGAAGCGGCAAGCATACTTTCGTAATGACTCGTCCGGCTTCTGGCGAATAGTGTACAAGTCATCTGCGGAATGCAAGTGATCGGTCTGGAAGATGTGTTGAGAAACAAACAACTTCCTCAACTTTTCAAATGAGTCTACCGTCTCGGGTGGAAGACGGCAATACCAGTTTAAAGCTCCGTTAGAGAGGGTGGAGGGGAAGAGAAGGCACCGTTCTTCATCGGTGTGTCTCCGGTATACCATGGTGGACTCAAAGAGGTTAAGGTGTTCAATCGGGTCTTCCCTTCCAGTATAGAGTTGTAAGTCAAGCTTCTGCTTTGTCTTCGCTTGGAGGGGGTGTTGAGGATCATTCTTGTGAGGGGGCCAGGCCTGGGTTGGTTCCAGTCAGGTATCTCGGCTTGACGTTCAGCCTTCAACTTGTTTACTTCCTCCAGGAGCTGTAGGACGAGGGGGTCCTGAGTGGAGTCGTGCAGCACTGAAGTTTTCTTCTGTAAGTCCCCATCGCCTCTTGGAAATAGGAAAGTTTGATCAAGATAGCATGATTTTTCCTTCCACTCATCACACTGACTCCTAGAGTGAGTATGTCGGAACATTTCCGAGTCCCCTGTACCTTCATGTTCTTCTGGGACTTGTTGCCCATTCCCTAGATTAACTGCTGGCCTGGGTCGTGGGAGAGGACCGAGTCTTTCAGAAACTCTTGGGTCATTGATCTTCGAGCTTATGTGGATGGGATTCTCTCGACGTTGCTTTAAGAAGTCTCGACAATCGCGATAGACGGCTTTTGATCCTTCCACTCCTTCTGTGAGGAGGTGCTTTCCTCTACTCCTTCTGTTTCGGGTTGAAGCAGCTGGGTTGAGAGAAGTCTCATGTTGATTATCACATTGATGTGTAGCTCGATCCCTATCAGGGATATCCGTGTTGGATATCGGTGACCCTCCGTGTTGGGGGGCATTCAGATGATTGTTGACCTCAGCAGGGGCGACGAGCTTGTGTGCTTGAGCATGCCTAACCTCGTGAAGCATCTCGAAAAGTTTTTCATACTGCTCCTGGAGGACCTCGTTCCTCATCACTATCTTGTTGTTCTGAGCTTCTAACTCATCGACTTTAGCTTGAAGAGTAACTCTATTTCCTTCCTGCTTTCGTTGCTTCATACTAAGTCCAATGGGGGTGTCATTCTGTGTGTTATGGCTTCTTTCGCTCCCCATGTTGGAGAGAGATGTTTGGCCAAAAGAAAGTGTACGAGCGGTGGAAACCAGCTTAACAAAGCTGAAAATAGTGGGAGTAAGTGTCTTTCCCACAGACGGCGCCAAATGTTGATGCACAAAATCAGCGAGGACTTTGGTACAACAGAAAGTGTCAGGTTTGCAACCTTCGCTTGGTTGCTTCGATCACTAGTGAAGATAAGTACGTAAATGAATAGGGACAGGGAAGCAAACACAAGATGTACGTGGTTCACCCAGATCGGCTACGTCCACGGAGTAGAGGAGTTCTCATTAATTGTGAAGGGTTTACACAAATACATAGGTTCAAGCTCTCATTTTGTGAGTTCTAGTGAATAGTTTAGTACAAAATGACATTAGAGATTATTGTGGGAGAATGATCCCTATTTATAGAAGAGAGTTTCTAGTTTTGTTCTAACATTGACACGTGTCGTGTTGTGATTGGCTTCTGATGTTGACACGTGTTGAGCTGTGATTGGCTTCTGATGTCGACACGTGTCGCATTGTGATTGGCCTCCTGGTTGAAGGGAAGCTCTTCTGGGTCTTTGACGGTATAACGTTGACCGGTGCTCAGTAGTTTCGGGATTGGTCAAGTATGGTACAAACACAGTGCATTGAGCTTCTTACTGAAATTGAAGCCCGTTTGGATTTCGATGATGAGATGCCGCTGCTTGATACAAATGAAATTGTGAATAAATAAATTCTATGTCGCAAGATGTTGAGAGTGCTCTGGAGACGGCCAATTATGATCAACTTCTGCAATCTGGATTACAGGTACAATTGAAAAATGGATTTCTTACATTTCTTCCTTTTTTGGTGGATATTGAATGATAGTCTAATGTATAGCTTAGGATAAACTGTGGTCATGTTACTTTATATATATCTGATGCTAATGTGACTGAATCTGATGTTGATGTTTTTTTTTTTCAATTTACACAGAATGTATATAGAGTTTTTATTGTTAATAGCCAAAATTTAACCCCAAATTTCATAAATCTCACATTTTATAAAACTTTCAAATGGCCAAAAACTCTGGTGAAGAGTCTCAAATGCCCTCAAGATCAAAACTGAATTACACAGGAAAGCTGAAACACTTGAATAGAACTTCTTTGGATTGTTGTTCCACAAAGGGAGTGGTAAACGTTGTGGAGCAGTTGTGGGTGTGGTTGAAGTTGGAGTTTAACTAGCCGAGTACAGACTGGCAAATTTTGCCACTCATGGCTGAAACTCAATAGCTGTAGTCATGTCCGTGGTGGTGGAATATTCTTTGTACAATTGTCTGTTAAGACATGATATTGGTTGAGGTTTCTAACTCATTGGAGTCAATTTCTAATCTGATTATTGTAGACCGAAGTACAAAGATTTAGACCAATAACAGTTTTCTCAGAAGATCATTCGAATTTTCTATGGAACAAAGTTTGGAATGCTCATGTCCCTCCAAAAGTTAAGGTGTGTTTGGAGGTTCTGTCTTGATATACTTCCTACAAGGGTCAATCTAGCGAAGAAGCGTATCCCTGCTGACAACAGGTGTGTACTGAGTGGAGCTAATGGTGAATCCACTTGGCATCTCATGATGGAGTACCCTTTTTCCAAGTGCCTCTGGTTATCTTCCTATCTGGGAATTCCTCCTATCAGGGACTTTGCTTTTTGAATAAAGCTCTTGAGGTTAGCCGTGTCCTAAAGAAGTATGACTTTGATTGTTTTATGATAATGCTCTGAGTCATATGGAATGCAAGAAACATGAAATTGTGGGACAGCAAGTGTGTAGCCCCGAAGGTGGTTGCTTCCAAGGCAATTGGCTGGTGGCAAGAGTTCTTGATGGTGACTTTTCCTCACCGTGAATCCTCACCCCATCCTCCTCTTCCAGATTGGTCTTGCCCCCCTAGTGGTTGTCTAAAGATCAATTTCGATGGAGCTTGGAATGTGTCCATCCACAAGGGTGGTGTTGGAGTTATCATCAGAAATTCTGAAGGTGCTTTCATTGGGGATCTTAGTAAATCGTTCAATTGTGTTTCCTCCCCTGTGCATGCGGAAGCTTTGGCGGTCAGGCAAGGTTTGATTTTGGCGGTTGAGAGGGGCTATCAAAATATCATTATTGTGAGCGACTCTCTCCAGATCATCGTGGCGGTTCAAGACTCTTCTACTAACCTCTCTTCAATGGGACCGATAGTGGAAGATGCAAAGGCCCTCGTGCGTTCCATCAGTGGAGCTTCTTCTTCCCATGTTCGCCGCCAAGCAAACGAAGTTGCTCATCGCCTGGCAAGAGTAGCTATCCTCAACAATGGTGTCTGTAATTGGTTTGAGGAACCTCCTGTTTGTCATTTGTGATTTGGTTTTTGAGGAGAGTCTCCTCTCTAATATACTGAATTAGCCTTTGGCTTTCGAATGAAATTCTGCCTCTTTTGATAAAAAAAGGAGGATCATTCGAATTTAGGGCTAGAAATATGTAACTACCAATAAAAAGAAAAAACAGATCTGCGGTTTACCCTGTCTAATTAATCTAATTAATCTATAACACGTCTTACCAAGTTGAATTGTAGCAGAATGACCTCACAAACCAATCAAAACAAAACAATGGGGTGTGCGAAAATGCTGCCCTTGAATCGTTCCAGTTCCTATACCCAAGCAGAAGAATGGATACGATGAATTGATCACATTCTTCATTGTACAAAGTAGTAGGGTATTGCCCCCTAGGTTTATTTGGTTTTAATTTTGAGGGTATTTAGGTCTATTTAAGTGGGTTTTCTGCTATATCTGAACATGTTCATAGAAAGTGACATTTATGAAATTTGGGGCTAAATTTTGGCTATTAATGATCAAAACTTTGAGGCGGTTACACTGTTAGATATAGATTTATTTTCCTTGTTTAAACTTGAAATCCACTTCTCCAAATGGGACTACATTTTCTGTTTATTATGGTAATATGGGTTTGCTACTTGGCTTCCTTTGTATCTTTAAAAATTTAAATACACTTGTCTTTTCTGTATTCATTCTCTGCAGTCTGAGCATGCTTCTGATTTATTGAGATCATATTCAATCTTGCAGATAGCAATTCTGGGCCGTCCAAACGTTGGGAAGTCAAGTCTACTCAATGCATGGAGCAAAGTATGTGGTGACAATTTTATCTTTTTGGGGCATGATTGCTTGTTTTCTTAATGAATTGCTTGTGTGTCCTACGCTAAAATAGTAATGATTGCCTTGTATCATTTTTTCTCCTTTTGCCTGTCAACGGTTGATTTTTGGATAACCATTGTGCTCCAGCGATTTTGGATTGAGTTTGCCTGTCTGGATTGAGATGACCATTGACATACCTGACTAGTATAATATTACTTATTAAGCTCTTTGTAGAACTATATCTTCAGTAATACGCATTTTAAGTGATAAACCCAGAAAATATGGATGCACTTATAAGGGAAGGTAGGTGTGCCTATATGAAAATGACTCTCATAACCATGAGTCTCTTTTTGAATAAATGTGACTGGAAGCTAATGACTTTTACGTTCTTTTTGTACTTCTTTCAGTGAGTTTTGAGATGAGTAATACAGTTAAGGGCTTGTTTCGTACACATGATTGGATTGGAATAGATATCCTACTAAATTAAAGGAATGGTTAAAGGGATAAATTATAAAATTGTGACTACCTAGAGGATAGACGATGGGTTACTCACGACGAAAACTTATCCATTCCAATCCTCCGTAAAATGGTAGGATTAGAAGGGTTCAATTTTCTTCATAGCTAGTCCTCTTCTAATCCCCTCCAAATGAGAAACCATTCAGTTCTACCTTCAATATACCTTGAAATTAAGGAGTTATCCGTTCCAATCCAATTATGTGTACCAAACGAGCCTTAAGTGTTTCTATTCATAACATTTGGACTTATAAAGTGGGCACGATAAGCAGTAATTATAGTAGAACAACTGTATTGTAAAAGGAACAAGATATTTTAAAAATATACCATTTTTTCATAAATGTAGTCCTTCCTCTTTAGGTGTTATTCCTTTTGTTCTGTTTAGCAATTACTGGTAGTATGAGATGTTATTGAGTAGTGCATTTTAATTTTAGCGTGCAGACTGAGAGGGCAATAGTTACAGAAATTGCTGGGACCACTCGAGATGTGGTTGAAGCCAGTATAACGGTTCATGGCATTCCTGTAACCCTTCTTGATACAGCGGGCATTAGGGAAACCAATGACATTGTGGAGAAAATCGGTAAGGTTATATGTCTTTTCACACTTTTGATGTCTAGTGATCCTCTGATTTCAAACCAGATGCACAAGCCAAATACATCGTGCCGATGTTTCTTTTTTAGTAGCATAAGATTATGTTTATTTTCAATAGGCCATTGAGCATTAGTGAAATAATTCTGCCTCCAATGTTGAGTTTGTTGACGAGGAATGATATGCATGTTGCTTGATGTATGGTGGCCGTACCATGGCACTCCCGCTGGTATTGCTTATCCATTTCTTGACCATCTTTATCACAGGTGTTGAAAGGTCCGAAGCAGTTGCTATGGGTGCTGATGTTATTATAATGGCAATAAGTGCTGTTGATGGCTGGACTCCAGAAGACGCCGAACTTCTAAATAGAATACAATCTAATAAGGTTTTCTCTCTCTCTTAATCATATAACACGTGCATTTCTCTGTTTATCAAGCATTCTGTTTTTCACTCAAGCATGTAATAAATCATTGTATCCTACAGAAATCTACTGGATCCTCGACCCCAATGATTCTTGTAATTAACAAAATAGACTGCATTCCATCTGATTGCATGGAGGGGATTGAGAAGGATATCAATTCGTTCAGTAAGCATGTTTTGACATCTGCTGTCACTGGTCAAGGAATCCAAGGTTTAGAGACGGCAATATTAGAGATTGTTGGCCTCGACAAAATTTCCGTGGGGAGCCGCAAATGGACTGTCAACCAGGTTTGCTACATATACATCTGCGTATCTTCTGTTTTAATTACCATAATTGCATCGTTTATCTCTTTCCATTTACTCATAATTGAAGGCAAAACGAATGCATTGACGTTGGTTTAGATTGATCTTATAATCAGAGGTTGATTCTGATTGTTATATTGAAATTTTGACGAATCATCAGAGACAATGCGAGCAGCTTGTTCGGACCAAGGAGGCTTTTGTGAGGTTGAAATCCTCAATCGAAGAGGAAATGCCTTTCGACTTCTGGACAATTGATTTGAGGGACGCGGCAATGGCCCTTGGGCAAATTAGCGGCGACGACATTTCTGAGGAGGTTTTGTCCAACATTTTTGGCAAGTTCTGTATTGGTAAATAGAAGATGCCTAAAAATATTATTTGATCCAAACAAAGTTTTGTAGCAAGTTCTGTGTTGGTAAATAGACTAAGTTAGATACCCATCCGACACGTGCGGCCCTCGCATCGAGCTAGATCTGCACGTGCGGACGACCAGCTTCATGTATCGAGAGTACTGTAAGGTGCATGGTTGGCCAGTTCAGTCCTGGGGTATTAGTATCAGTTGGACATGATTTTGAAAGGAACATTGAGAGTTTCATTGGTGATTTGACATGCATTTGCGAAACGGAGTTTGTATGTTCCAAGTAGTATATTTTGTAATTTTATTTTTGTCCACTCACTGAGAGTCCTTAATCCCTTTCACGGTGAAAAGTGAAAAGAATAAGGGAAATTGCTTGAAATGATCATTTTCGACATTTGGTTGCTGAATTAGACCTGACATTCGTGTCGGGTTTTTCGTGTTTGTGTCATACCTGATAGCTTAAGAGGTCGTGTTGTGTAACACCCGTTAAAATAAACGGGTAATATGACCCAACCTGAAATCGATCCGTTAATATTATCAGGTAATATGACCCGACCTATTACCCGTTAAGAAATATATACTTTAAATCAATAAATAATGAAAACGAAAAACATAATTTGACCCAAAAAATGTAAAGCATAATACTAAATTAGTATATACATACCACATTATCACATAAATATTACTTCAAAACATAAATAAATAAATAAATAAAAACATTTGTCTTTCAAGTTTACATACCCCAAAATAAGAGCCTAATAAAAAAACATTAGTGCATACTACAAAATAGAGATGTTCAAAGATATGCACAAATAAAGAGAGTTGCGTTTCAAGGTTGAGGAACTTTACACGTTTTTGGCAATAAAAGCCTTCAATTTTCATCAATCACCAAAGGAAATGGTATTGAAACTTTGGCTTGATATATTGTCTTGAAGGGTTAATGGGTTATATTGATGATGTTTTCACTAAGGTTTTCCATAATCCATAAACTATAGATTTAAATTTAACAGTTGATTGTCATTTATATTTACACTCCATTCTTCTCACCAATTTTTTTTTTCGGATTTTATTTTTTGAAAACATGATCTCTTAGAGGATACAGGAAGATAAACGGTTCGGATCGTTGATATTACGTTCAGAGTTTTACCATTAGTAAAAATATAGCTCGAAGTTTATAAAGCCTCTAGAAACTATATAACATGAACTCATATTTTAGTTAACCGTAAATATCGGAATGTCATATCAACTAGACCTGACATTTGTGTCGTGTTTCCGTGTTCGTGTCATTTTCGTGTCATACCGGATATCTTAACGGGTCGTGTCGTGTAACACTCGTTAAAATAAATGGGTAAAATGATCCGACCCGAAATCGACCCGATAATATTAACAGGTAATATGACCCGACCAGTTACCCGTTAAGGAAAATATATTTTAAACCAATAAATAATCAAATAAAAAATATAATACTAAATAAGTATATACCTACCATATTGTCACATCCAAAACATAAAAACACATTTTTCTTTTAAGTATATTTTCACTTACCTAAAGTCTTTAATAGTTTTTTAATTAATGTAGAAGTGTAAAAATATATAGAAAAAACATATATAAACACTCGTAATGACAAACTTTACAACTTTCATGGAGAGCTTAACTTCGAAATTCGCCATTATAATCATATAAATCATAGATCAAAATTTAACCGTTGATTGTTGTTTACATTTACGCTTCATTGTTCTCATCAAATTTTGTTTTTTCAGATTTTCTTTTTTGAAAACTTGATCTATTAGAGGATGCAGGAAGATATGAACGGTTTGGATCATTGATATTATATTCAGAGTTTCACGGTTAGTGAAAATATTGCTTGATGTTTATAAAGTTTCTATAAACTATATCACATCGACTCATATTTCAGCTAACCATAAATATCGAAATGTGATATCAAAGATCTGAACCGTTCATCTTACATCTGCCAAATGATCATGTTTTCAAAAAAGAAAATTTAAAAAATGAAATTCAGAAAGAAGAATAAAGCATAAATGACAATTGACGGTTAAATATAAATTTAAGGTTTATGAATTATAGTGTTGGATTTCAAAGCTGACCCGTTCATGAAAGTTGTAAAGTTTGTCACTATGAGTAGGCTTGGCAAACGGGTCATGTTTGTCGTGTTCGTGTAACATCTGTTATCTTAACGGGTCGTGTCGTGTCACACCTGTTATCTTAACGGGTCCTTAACAGGCGGGTAAAGTGACCCGACCCGTTATGACCCGTTACGACTCGCTAAGAAAAATATATTTTTTTCTTAAATTTGCACATATCACACATTGCCACATAAATATTACTTCAAAACATTAAAATACATTTATCGTTTAAGTACTACATCTACACTTGAAAATAAGAGACACGGGTTCATGCCAGGGCGCTCAACCATGGAGGCAATCTATCTCTTACGAAGATTGATGGAAAGATATAGAGATGGGAAAAAGGATTTACACATATCTTTATAGATTTGGAAAAAGCGTATGATAGGGTCCCAAGAGACATTCTTTGGAGGATTTTAGAGAAGAAAGGAGTACGAGTAGCATATATCCAAGCTATAAAGGATATGTATGAAGGAGCAAAGACTGCCGTAAGAACTCATGAAGGACAAACCGAAAGCTTTCCCATAACTGTAGGATTACATCAAGGCTCATCCTTAAGTCCTTACCTTTTTGCGTTGGTAATGGATGAGTTAACAGGACATATTCAAGATGATATTCCTTGGTGTATGCTTTTCGCAGACGATATAGTGTTGATAGATGAAACTCAGGAAGGGGTAAATGCAAAGCTTAACCTTTGGAGAGAAGTGTTGGAATCTAAAGGTCTTCGCCTAAGCCGATCAAAGACAGAATATATGGAGTGCAAGTTCAGTGCAAATGGAGGCCAAAACGAGTTAGGGGTGAGGATCGGAGATCAAGAAATACCAAAGAGCGACCGTTTTCGTTACCTAGGATCTATCTTGCAAAAGAACGGAGAATTAGATGGAGATCTCAACCATAGAATACAAGCTGGATGGATGAAGTGGAAGAGTGCATCCGGCGTGTTGTGTGACCGCCGTATGCCACTGAAGCTCAAGGGAAAATTTTATAGGACGGCAATAAGGCCGGCGATGCTGTATGGCACAGAATGTTGGGCGGTGAAACATCAACACGTACACAAAATGGGTGTAGCGGAGATGAGGATGCTTCGTTGGATGTGTGGGGCACACGAGAAAGGATAAGATTAGGAATGAGGATATCCGGGGTAAAGTAGGAGTAGCCGAAATTGAAGGAAAGATGAGAGAAAATCGGTTACGGTGGTTTGGACATGTGCAAAGAAGGCCTACTGACGCTCCGATTAGAAGATGCGACTATGGGACAGAGGTTCAGGGCCGAAGGGGTAGAGGAAGACCTAGGAAAACTTTGGAAGAGACTCTAAGAAAAGACTTAGAGTACTTGGATCTAACGAAGGACATGACACAGGATCGAGCACAATGGCGTTCTAAGATTCATATAGCCGATCCCACTCAGTGACTTGGATTTTCCAAGTCTCCAACCGAGAAGTTTTCCTCACTCGGGAAATTAAGGGAACACTACCCCAACCTACATGCTCCACTCAGAAAGCTTCAACATACAAGCTTCAACAAAAGAAAATTCAAAGAACTTAGCGAAGAAGGCTTTGGTGTATTTAACACAATACGTTGAAATGAAGGAAAGCTTATTTATTGATATCCCCGATAAGCTACAAATATGTACATATACATGAGTCAAAATAAACACACAAGAGGGAGCCTTCACAAAGGTTGCTTAGGAGAAGTCTCAGCAGTCGGTAGAGCCCCAGAAAGAGAAGGCACCGGAGGGGGATCATTTGGAGCCTCAGTACTGGACAGAACCCTAGAAGGAGGAGGCATCAGAGGTTGATCATTTGGAGCTTCATTACGCGGTACAGCCCCAGAAGACGAAGGCAATAAATGCCTTTGGAACAAACCCACAAATCTCTGATGATCAAGTAAAACCTGACCATCAGTTTCCTTCATCTGGTCAAGCTTCCTCTTCATGTTTGTAGCATAGTCATGTGCGAGCCGGTGCAACTGTTTATTCTCATGCTTGAGCCCTCTAATCTCCTGTTTGAGACTCATCACTTCAGCCGCCAATGATTCAACTTGGCGGGTTCGAGCAAATAGGCGTTGGGCCATATTAGACACAGAACCTGCACACTGAACACTGAGAGCCAGCGAATCCTTAACAGCTAACTCATCAGACCGTTTGGAAAGTAGTCTGTTATCTTTGGGAGTGAGAAGGTTCCTGGCCACCACCGCAGCGGTCATATCATTCTTCATCACGGAATCCCCAACGGTAAGAGGACCAGTAGGGGAGACGAAGGATGGGCGCCATATGTTGTCTGGAGAAGGCGGGGCTGCCTCTTCAACAAGGTTCAAGTCAAAACGACGGTCGGAGGGGCCAGACATTTTCAAAGGTGTTGAAGAGAGAAGAGGTCGGACAAATCAAGATCTTAGAAGTGCAAGAATGAAGCTTCTACTGGTGGAGATTCAAGTGTGCTTTGGAACTTAATGCCAGCCCCTATAAAAATCTGCACTCGACGGAGCTTCAGAAATCGAAGAGGCGCCTGCTCAGAAATCGAAGAGGCGTTTGCTTTCTCAAAAGCTGAGCTGCTTAGAGATCACGAGGGTTGATCTCAGAAATCGAAGAGGCGTTTGCTTTCTCAAAAGCTGAGCTGCTTAGAGATCACGAGGGTTGATCTCAGAAATCGAAGAGGTTTTTGCTTTCTCAAAAGTTGGGCTGCTCAAAGACCACGAAGGCCGATCTCAGAAATCGAAGAGGCGCTCGCTTTCTCAAAAGCTGGGCTCCCCAGAGACCACGAGGGCCGATCTCAGAAATCGAAGAGGCACCTACTTTTCCAGCCTTGTCAGCACCTGTCACACGCACACTCAGCTTTGCGGAAATTATGGGCATTCTGTCGAAGACTTCTGGGGAAGTAGAAAACACATGAATCTTACTGTTCAATCACCCACTTCCCACACGCAACAATAGCTCATGGGTACCACAGATAACTTTGCCAAAGTTCTCTGCCAAAGTTGAGCACGTGAAGCTTGCAGCTCCCACTACATCGCTCTGACCAAGAAGGGTAAAAGAATAGCAAAGAAACAGCACTAACAAAGTTTAGACCCATAAATTTTGAAGGTCTAGCTACCATATTATTACCCACAAGGGTAAAGGAACAGTACCACTGCTGGATAATTGGAAAGTCCCTGTGTGTCAACCTCTGTGCTTCGTGGCAAGGTAGACTAGCAAACATGCCCAACCTTTACTCACATTCGAGAAAACACTCCCAATAAGATTGCTTGCTCCAAAATCGAAGAGGCACC